TGCCCCTTGCAGTGGCAATATGGAGTCCTACCCACTGGACTGTCATGGAATTCCCTTATGAGTATTTGTGTCCCTCTAAAACTCATGCTGAAAACCTAATGCCCAGGGTGATGATATTAATTGGTGGGACTTCGGGAAGGTGAATGGGATCAATGCTCTCATAAAAGAGGTCCCAAGAGAGCCCTTGCCCACTTCCATCATATGAAGACACAGTGAGAAGTCATCAGTCTACAAGTAGGAAGAGGGCCTTCACCAGAACCTGACCATGCTGGCAGCACCCTAATCTCGGGCTTCCAGCCTCCAGAACTGTGAGAAACCCATTTCTGTTGTTTAGAAGCCACCCAGTCTGTAGTATTTTGTTACAGCAGCCCACACAGACTAACAGGGTGAAAAAACAGGATAAAAACATACTCCTTCTGTCCTACTAGCTGCTACCCATCTCTTTCTTTCATTTCTTATGCCCCAGCTCATCAACACCTTTGCTTTTTCTGGAACACACCAAACCCTTTCCCATCTCTTGGCTATATATTGACCTTGATGCTCCTTCATCTTGGAAAGTCTTTCGCCAGCTTGGTGAGCATGTTACCATCTTCGTCTAGGCCCCAATAGCCCCTCCTCAGAGGTGTCGTCCCTGACTATGCTACCTAAAGCACTCTTCCCTAGTTATTTCTTTACTTATAGCAGCACTTACCACAATCTGCAACCGATTTTATCATTTTGCTTATTTCCCTTGCTAAAAGGCCCACAAAGGCAGGGATAGTATCTGTGTTGTTCTCTGCTATGACCCTGGTGTCCAGCATAAAGCAAGTGCTCAGTAGACATCTGAATAAATTAAAAGATTAAAAACAAAACAACATACTTAAAGGTTGCTCACTTATAGTATAGTATGATCAGCAGTAAAAGAGATTTACCAAACAGGAGCAAACATGAAAGAAACAGAAGGGAAGGGTGGTGAGGGAGGAGTCTACTCACTTCTCATTCCTACATCAGAGACTAAGAAAGGATACTGTCACACACATCAACATGAGCTGATGTCACCACATGACATTCAGCCTCATGCTGTTCACCATGAAACCAGGGAACCACACTGTATTAACTTTCAGCTTTTGTGTGCAGCAGCCAGCACTCACTGCCTCCCCACTCTCCTATTTTTCCTGAAGGAGGGGGAAGGCTCTGCTCAGGACTTACCAGCCATCACGGAGTAGTTGAAATGTTCTGCTGCAGGATCCAGGTTCACAACTTGGACAGACCGATTGAGGGCTTCGCAGTGCTGCACCATGGTGGCACAGTAAGTGCTCTGTAATGTCACAAGGCACAAGGGGTTAGAGCAACACTCGGTATACTGCTTACCCCTACACCTCCAGAAGGACTCTCCACCCACCCTGGGCAGTGTCTACTAAGGCCAAAACTATTCCTTCATTGACCAAGAAGCTAAAAGGCGTTAGGCTGGGAGTCAGGACACCTGACTGGGCTGTGGATCCAGACCTGGCTCGGACTCATGGGGAAGTCGCTTTTGCATTCTCTCCCTAAATTTTCTTGTCTTTAAATGTGATGGCTTCCATGATCACTAAGGCTCCTTACTGCTCTAATCTGCAACAAGTGGAATTTAAAGGGGAGATTTCTAATTACACTGTGCAGCATCTAACACATGATGTCTCCACTAGGATTGATACAGTCCAAACAAAGCTTTAGGTAGGCTGGTTAGGGATGATGTCTCTGAGAAGAGAGCATCTGAGCTGAGGGACAGCAGTGTGCTTTCCAGGCCAGTGGAATAACAACCCAAGATGAGAGAACATTAGGCCAATAAACAGTCTGGCAATACGCTATCAGTTTACACCTTCTGGTTTAGAGAATTCTTCATCCCTCATATGCTACATTAAGGCTACTTGTCGTCTCTCCCACCCTCTATTAAAAGGCAGGGATGTGTCAGGAATTCCCTGGCAATCTAGTGGTTAGGACTCGGTGCTTTCACCACTGGGGCAGGGTTTGATCCTTGGTCTGGGAACTAAGATCCTGCAAGCTGCCTGACACGGCCAATAAATAAAGAAAGGCAGGGATATGTCTTATTCAGTTTTATAAGCATAGGGGCCGTAACATACTACCCAGGTGGCTCTGTGGTGAAGAATCTGCCTGCCAATGCAGGAGATGTGGGTTCGATCAATGGGTCTGGAAGATCCCCTGGAGAAGGAAACGGCAACCCGCTCCAGTATTCTTGCCTGAAAAGTCCCAGGGAGAGAGGAGCCTGAGGGGCTACAATCCATGGAGTTTCAAAGAGCTGGACATGACTGAGCAACTGAGATGCACGCAGGAGATATAACAGTATCTGGTACATAATAAGCGCTTGATAATTATTTCTAATTGATTAATATGTTTGAATAAACTTCATCAGGGCAGAGAATTTTTGTGTGTGTATTTTAGTCACTACATAATCCGCCAGAGTATTTCTGATAGTAGGCATCAAAAGTTTATAGAAAGATACTTATTTAACACAGTGTGAAAGTTAACCTAGAATATAAAAATAACCTCTATCACGCTTTTATCTTTCTCCTCAGTGACTTGACACACACTGTTCTCTCTGCCTAGGAAGCCCTTTCTATATAACACATTGCATTTTAATTGACTAGTCACCTATAAGTGTGATAGTAGTCTACTATTCACTCCAGTATTCTTGCCTGGAGAATCCCATGGACAGAGAAGCCTGGTGAGCTATCATCCATGGGGTTGCAAAGAGTCGGACACGACTGAGCAACTAACACACACACACACACATCTCAAATAAGACTACTGGCTCCAGAAAAGCAAGGGTCATACCATAGTCACATGTGTATCTCCTGCAGCCAGAATAGGCCAAGAACCAGAGGAACCAGTTTGTAAACTTAAAACTGAAGTCACACAACACTTTCACAGACTCCAGTGTTTCCCACACTCCTGTTATTTGATCAATATCGTCACAATTTCTACCATATTTAAGAGCCTCTAATAGGATTTCCTTAATAGCTGCTTACAAGAAAAAATTATATCTCTAACCAGAAAAGCAGCTATGCTTATCATAACGTGAAGATAACCATATAAGATAACATAACTTTAAAACTCTTTTAGTTCTAGGTAAATATAATTGCCTGTCAAAAGCTCTAAGATCTGCTCTCCAAAAAGTAGAATTAAAGAAGTGTTGAAGNGCTCCAGCCAAGGAAACGACCTGAAATTCCTGGAAATAAAAGTTATTTCATCCCTTGTGCCTTTGAACGTTCTCTTCCTTCGGAGTCCAGAATTGAGGTAGCGGTAGAAGTTGCAGTGTAAGAAGGTGTTGAATTACGTAACTTCTGAGGTCCTTTATGATGCAAAAGTTCCTTATTCCACGCAGCTCATGAAATTTCTGTACAATTTACTGCCACTTCTATATCAGCTTTTATTTACAGATGCATGCAAAGTTATCTTATTTATATATATGTGTGTTGGAGAAGACTCTTGAGAGTCCCTTGGGCTGCAAGGAGATCCAACCAGTCCATCCTAAAGGAGATCAGTCCTGGGTGTTCACTGGAAGGACTGCTGTTGAAGCTGTAACTCCAATACTTCGGCCACCTGATGCGGAGAGCTGACTCATTTGAAAAGACCCTGATGCTGGGAAAGATTGAGGGCCAGAGGAGAAGGGGACGACAGAGGCTGAGATGGTTGGATGGCATCACCGACACAATGGACATGGGTGTGGGTGGACTCCAGGAGTTGGTGATGGACAGGGAGGCCTGGCGTGCTGCGGTTAATGGGGTCGCAAAGAGTCGGACACGACTGAGCAACTGAACTGAACTGAACTGAACTGAACAGAACTGAAGACACACTAGCACCAAACTGATGATTTCATCTCAACGCAAACTGAAAGAAAACTGAAAAGGGAGCCACTTTCTCAATATATGATTCAATGTTCATTCATGTCAGGCCCATGTATTTCCTAAGTACATCGCAAGTCCACGTCTCAAGCTTTGATAAACAGTGATTAACGAGAACCCACCTTAAATTAGTCTACTGGGTTAAAGACACGGGCAGATTCTGGAGTTACACAAAACTGGATTCAAATTCCAGCCGTCACTTACTAGCTATGCGATCCTGAGCAAAAACTTAAGTCTCATTTTCCTTACCGGCAAAGTAGGAGTAACAGGACTTAACTCACGGGGTTGTTGCGCAAGTAAGTTTAAGCGCAGTATCTGGCGCTTAATTATGCAATAAAAACTAACAACTATCACTAATTTCCTTTCAAAAGAACAACAAAAAGGACAGTGAAGCTCAGGCTGAAGAACCAAGCTGCCCAGGTCTCAGCGTCCCCAATACAACCGCCAGCCCTTCCCTCAGGACCTGAACCTCCCTACCTCCCACAAACTCCGACATTTCCCTCCTTCGCCCGCCAAATCCTCACCTTCCCGCTGCCGGCGGGGCCCATAACCAGCTGAGCGTACCGAGGCATGGTAGCTCCCCCAGTTCCTGACGCCTCCAGTCGCACAGACTTAGAATCTGACCACCACGCTCCCTTCAGCCTTCGGGCGACGCCCACTAAGTTCCGGGAACACGACGTAGAAACCAATCGCAATCCAAATTCCTTGGCGTCTTTTGTTGTGTCACGCCTCCGACTACGGAGCGTCCCGAAGGCCATATCCCAGGAGAAACGCGTTTTGCCAAAAGTCCCGGGATATTTTGCGCGTGCGCAGAAGTAGTTGGCGGAAATTAACCGTTGGGATTCTGGCAAGGTCTGGTTACCTTGGTGATAACGGACAACCGACAACGCTCCGCACCCCTCAGCGAGGTGCTTTGGTCCTTGATTTGCGTACTGCTGTTTGACCTATTTGGTGACCCTCAAGATTTGCAAATTTGCAGAGGGTCTGGATACTGAGGTGAAAGGCCCTTTCGTTTTAGAGGGAAAGTATACTTCCTTTCTGCGAGGCATCCCTTCCACAAAAAGACGCAAGTGAACAAACGCGCAATCAACTAATGAACTCCCGCCCCTCCCCCAACTTAATTCCAGGATCTTGGATCTGCCCTCCCCGCTTTCCCGAAGCTATTCGGGCAGTGTCCGGACTTCATCGGAGAGGGCTAGAATCCGGCGTCTGCCTCTTCACCCCCAATATCTCCCGGCCTGACGCACGCGTGCTGACACGGGAGGGGAGAGGGGAAATCTCTCGCACAGAGCTCGCGGTCAGGGTACCCGGGAGGAGATGCACAACCAGGGTCCAGTGTCCGACTGGACGGAGTGCATTTCCTCCGCAGAGCCGCCCGCAGTGGCCAGGGCCGAGGGTGGCGGTGGCGGGTGAGGCTGCGGGGCCCTGAGGGATTTGGGAGGATGGCCGTCAGCCCTGGGTCGTGATCCCCGGGTAGAGGAGGGGGTGGGAGCTGGCTGCTCCTGTGGACTGGTCCCTAGTGTACTGAAGTGAGAGTAAGGGGGAGCCTTTGTTGTGGCCGACTCACAGTTTAGGGGACGGGCTTCTGAGGAAAGCTGAGGACAAGGGTTGGTGCAATGACTGACTAAACGCAGCGACTGCGACAGTCGTCTGGGTGCTTCTTGTGCCCCAGGGGGCGCTGCGAAATCTGCTTGAACGTTTGCCGTCTGGCCACTGTATTTCTACAAAAAGGGGTTGGCAGGCTGGGGGTGGGGGGTTAGGGAGGCACCAAGGGAATAGAGGCTCAAAGTAGCGCTTCCAAATCAACAAATCATTTCCCTGTGTGACATTAGTCACCTTTATGTCAAATTGAGATTCAAAATCTGTAATGAGACAAGTTTTAGAGGCATCTTGATTTTGGCATTTTCTTCACTCAATAGTTCCTTTTTCATAAATCCATTCTGAGCAGGTTTTTACTTTTTTTTAAACTGCTTAGTGGGGACTTTTTTGTATTTTAATTTTTAATTGAAGAATAATTACTTTACAATATTGTAATGTTTTCTGTCACGGGTTTTTACTATTATTTCCTGGACGCTGAAGATAGTTGGTGAAATTACTGTTGGAGGCAGTACCTCATCCCTTGCATCAGTTATTCCCTAAAAGTGAGAACTGCTGGATGTTCCTCTCAAGCCCACAGTCATGGCTCCTTCTGCACCCATGGCCATCTTTAAAAATATATGTGTGTGTTTGGTGCGTTGATGACTTCTAAAGATGGAATGGTGCCATGTTCCTCTTTTCTGCTCCTCAGGGTGTTTAGCAAAATTCTGGATCCTAGTATATCAGAGCATCAATGAATGGTCATTGAAAAAAATGCAGGAAGAGGAAAAGGGGAGTGTTTTGTCTTAATTTGAGAACGGAAAAAATGAACTGTACAAACATTCTAGACCAACTTAGTTCCAGTACACCTTAAATTACATATAATAATTTTATTAAGAATAAAGGGAAAAAAAAGAATAAAGGAAGAAAATACCGTGGATAGCACAGAAGCCCAATTACTTCATTGAGCTCAGTGTAGGAATTAGATTCTGAGGCTGTAAAAGTAAGGTCAAATCTGGCTTAAAGTAAATCCTTTATATATAATATGGTAAAAATCTCTGATAACTCACTTTGAAAAAGCCTGGAGTTATTAAGATATAACCAGAAGATAGATATAGGAGAAGGTTTTGCAAGACATATCTGATGGAAATGGAAAGTAAAAAGCATATGTAATACTGTCCTTATTTTTCATTTAAAATACTTTATTTAATGCTTATACAACTGTCAATTGTTACATATTATATACATCCTTTTTTTCTTAAAACAGATCAGCTGGACATTCTTATTACCAGAATTCCAAAGGTACTGGTGAGTATATAAAGCAGATAATATGTATCAATAATATGGCTAACAGAAGTAAATTTTGCTATAACTACTAACACGGAGTTTTTAAAAGCCTTTATTAGCATCTTTGGTAAACTCAGTTTTTAAGATTTTCAAAGAACAATCCATCAGGTTCTTTGTCTCCTGCTAAGATATCTCACATCAGGGACTTCCCTGGTGGTTCAGTGGCTAGGACTCTGTGCTCTCAGTTCAGGGGGCCAAAGTTTGATCTCTGGGCAAAGAACTAGATCACATATGCTGCAATTAAGACCTGGAGCACCCAAATAAAATAATGCACATCAAAAGAGTACTTCAAAATTGCAGTGAATCTGAAAAGAACTGTTTATAACTGATGTTGGTTGAAAGGACAGAACATAACCTGGGGTTTATATTAATACTAATACAAAGATGGAAGGAAAAATTCTCAATTGTACAACTTCAAAGAACATAAAATTTTATTCAGTGCTGTTGTTTTCCTCTCACTTGAAATTAAGGATATAGCTGCTGGAGGTAAGAGGTTAAGACAGGCCCCCAAAGACCTCTCACTTTTTGTGGGTGAGCAATTTCAATTCAAATGATACATAAAACTTGAATTCACTTTGCTTTTTCTTGGAAAATTTATAGTCCTTACAGTTACCTAGGAAAAACACTCACACATATTTGTGTGTGTATGTATATATTCACATTATTTTATATACATGTGGGTGTTTTAAAATGGAATTGCTGAATCACATGGCAATTCTGTTTTATTTTTTGAGGAACTGCCATACTGTTTCCTGAGCAGCTGCACCGTTTTGTATTTCCAGCAGCAACACATAGAGGTCCAGTTTCTCCACATCCTAGCTAACACTTGTTTTCATTTTTTGGTGAGAAGAAATGGCCACCCACTCTAGTATTCTCGACCGAGAATCCCATGGATGGAGGAGCCTGGCAGGCTACAGTCCATGGAGTCAAAAAGAGTTGGACATGACTGAGCGACTTCACTCTCACTTTCTCTCACTTTCATACTTATGGATATGAAGTGATATCCCATTGTGATTTTGATTGCATTTCCCTAATGATTAGTGATAGTGAACACCTTTTCATGTGTTCATTAACCACTTGTATATCTTCTTTGAAGACATCTAAGTTCTATTCAAGTCCATAGCCCATTTTCAGCTGGGTTGTTTGTTGTGTTTAACTATTGTTTTTAAAGATTTCATTTTCTTTAAAGAAATGCTGCTAAACTTCTGAGGAATTAAATTTTAGTCCCAGTTCTAATATGCACCTCAGAACTATTAACAAGGACACACAAAATATATTCTTAGATAATTACTCCACACTTATGACTTGAAAAGGCTTAAAAAATAAACTTTTAGTATGTTGAATTGGTGTTCATTTTATTATTACAGATTTCAAATTATGTTTTAAGGATCATAATAATTTGTTTGATTTTGTATTTGTTGGTAAATCAGCTAGTCCTTTAGTATGCAAATGTAATTCTTAGTTATCTGCACTAACCATCCAATTCCCCAAAATCTTGAAGTAACTAAATTTAAGGTTTAATATGTAAAATTACAGTGGCTTTGTTATCAATAATAATTGAAACAAAACTGTACTTATTTAGTTTACCTAGTACAGATTTTTAACTTGGAATTTGTTCTGCCAGCTTTGTTTGTAATAGCCCCAAACTGGAAACAACCCAGATTTGCATCAAGAAGTGGATGGATAATCAAATTGTGGTATATACATGCAATGGAATAAAACCCAAGAATTAAAAGGCACTATCTATTGTTACACATTACATAAGTGGATCTCAAAATAATTATGTTGAGCAAAAGAAGTCAGACAAAACCAGAATATATACTGTATGTTTCCATTTATAGCAAACTCAAGAAACTAAGCTATAGTGATAGAAAACATATCAGTGGTTGCTTGGAGAGAGGAAGTGTATGGGGAGGATAGGAATATAAAAAAAAAAGAGTTATTTTCTGATTAAATTTTGCCAGGCACTGTTTTTCCCCAAACTGCTAGTAATCCTGAGTTATCTTAACATATGTGAGGCTAAAAACTACTTTCCATTCTTCTGGGAAAACATCTCAACTTTTATTTTTATTAAAAGCAATTACTTTAATCTACCCACATCTGTATTTAAAACAATGAAATAAAAAAAAAAATAAAAAAAAAATAAAACAATGAAATAACTGAAATTATGTAAAAATAAGTTTTAATTAATTTCTGCAAAGCTCTTCATTTTAACACTGCCTTATTAAAGGGACAAAATGTGTGTTATTCTATGTTGTGTCTAATATAAAATTTTGAAACTACATACCGAAGTCAAATGAATGATAAAATATTTTTGAAAATCTTTTAAAAGCACAAGTCCTGCATGTATATTCCTGTTTAGTGTGGTCTGACATACAATGAACTAAAGCAGTATACTATCAACAGTTTGCATCTCAGCTGAGTTCAAAATAATTTTGTCTAGATGTAATGATTATATATAGTAAATATTTATAAATATCTTCGATTTTTTCTGTGCTCTAAAACCAAATGGCAATCATAAAGTCTCTTCAAATTTAAGTTTGACTAAAATTAGTACTCCAGAATAATCATTTACACATGTAAACAGATAGATCTTAATAATTGTTAAACCAATCTTTGCTTATGAGATTCACATTATAATGTCCTTGCCTACAGACAGAATCAAAGATGGACACAAAGTGAACTCATCTAGAGCCAAGCTGCAAGAGTTATGGAAAATGCCTCAAACAATTCACACCCCTAAGTCAATGACAGAGCCTTTCTCTCTAAAGGTATGCTAACTAAATACCAATATTTTATTTAAATGCTAATAGTCTTTGTATTCAGAGTTGAACTTTTTATTGAATCTAGTTAAGAGGGTAAAGCATGTAGAACACAAGTATACCCAGCACATTGTCTGGGAGTCCATAAATATCTGCTGGGTAAACTCATGAAATCAGTGCAAGAATTTTATCATTATAGATTCCCTTTCATATGAATATTTTCATGCTTTATGATACTTTGGCTTTAATGTACATTTCTTCACTCTAGAAGCTTAGTGCCCCAAGCACAAAGATGCCTGAGGAAAGTTCCACTCTAGCGATAGAAACCCAACCCCGTAGATTTTGCTCAAGGACTCTAAAATTAAAAGCAAGCAAGAAAATGGCAATAAGCATTTCATGACTGTTGATCTGTATTACCCATTAAAGATCATAGCTGTCAGAATTAACCTCTCTAGAGCAATGTAAATTAGGGTTATTAAAGAGGTGTGCAAATTGGTAATTCTTGAGCCAGATTAATCCAGCTGAATTTGCATAAGTAAAATGTACAGATGGTACAACACTCCTGAACATTTCATCCTTTCAGATATGGAATATTGCCAACCTCTGTTCTACAATGCAGCCTACAAATCTTGTTTTGTCTTTTAGCATCCAGACCTCACCTTAGTCCAGAAGCGCTACCTGTGTAGCATTGCTAAGATCTATAATGCTAACTATCTGAGGACTTTAATGAAGAGGCACTACATGCATGTGATCCAGCGCAGCTCCCAAAAGCCAGGCAGGTGTATCTTCAGGTAGTTTTTCAATAGTTCTCACAAGAAATAAGAGAGCATTCTAACAGAGGTGATTTGTGTACAGGTGTCCTCACTCACCACAGGGGCCACCTCAGTTCTCGTTACTCACAGAAGCAGCATCACCCCTGTACTACATGGCGACACCAGCTGGAGAGAGAGGACTTGGGGCCTTCTAACATTGCAGCTGCATCTGCACCTGAGATGATACAACATTCGCTTTGGCGACCAGTGAGAAACAAAGAAGGGTCTGTTTCCTTTTGTTTCAGAGAAAAAATGTACCTCCAACTTTACTTGAAGGGTAGCTAAATGATGTTATATCTCATGCTCCCTGTAAGTTCAGAATAGATTGGATGAAGACACAGAAGAATGCTATCTTATGGCCTCTTTATTGAGCTGACTGGGATATGCTGCTTTTATTTTTTATATGTAATTTTATTTATTTTTGGCTGCACTGGGTCTCTGTTGCTTTGCATGGACTTCTCTCCAGTGGCAGCGAGCAACTCTTCATTAAAGTGCACTGGCTTCTCGTTGAGGTGGTTTCTCTTGTTGAGCACAGGCCCTTGGTGCACGGGCTTCAGCAGATGCAGCACGAAGGCTCCAGTAGTTGTGGCTCAAGGGCTGAAGAAGGTGGGCTCAGTAGTTGTGGCTTGTGGAATCTTCCTGGACCAGGGATCAGATCCATGTCGCCTGCATTGGCAGGCAGATTCTTATCCACTATGCCACAAGTCCTGCTACTGCTTTTAGAATTTTGTAGAATTGTAAAAATTTCAATCAGCTAGAGCCCTTTTAAACGATTCCCACTTAAATTCAAAATAATACAAACTCTTCCAAAAGGAGAAGTATACGGTGGCTTCTGCACAGGGGAATACTATAAACCAAAAAGAAAAAATGAGATCAAGATGCCTGATTATTCAACCTGTGCTACAACTGATAGTTTTGCATCTCAGGATGCTTCAGGATGTAAAGTCATGTGAGAATTCAGGGGCTAAAAGGGTCTCTTTGGTGATGCTGGCAACTTAATAAAAATTTGTATGGTCTTCCACATATATTAGACAACTGTGCGCTTTGCTAGTTCCAATTAAGATGCTTCTCTTTCTTACAGTTTAAAAACTGGATATGCATCTAAAACAAGATGTAAGTCATCGAAGATTTTTAGAAAACCAGGCAGACTGTTCATGCAATCAGGTAAATGTGGAATTTTTAATATATGTTTTTAAAGATGTTATGCTTTAAAAATATTAAACCCAATATAGCTCCATTTCTATTAGAGAAGACATTAAAAATTTTGAAGTGTGATTTGCTTACATTGCTCCAAACAAAACTAAACATGAAGTCGATTTCTGTTTCCACATAAAAGAACCGTGGTCAGGGAAGTTAAGATTCAATGTATTTCTAAGATATTATAGTCAAGGCCAGAGACTTAACAGAGAATGAAATTTGTCAGAACTCAGAGCCATAAACGTGACCTTTTCATGCCATAGCACTTCTTTTATGAGATAGTGTAATTTTTTGACTGACAGCATTGAAAACATTTTTTTGACTACTTGTGCAGCATGAGAGATCTTATTTCCCTGACCAGGGATTGAACCCGTGCCCCCTGCAGTGGAAGCAGAGTCTTAACCACTGAATCACCAGGGAAATACCCTAATAGCAAATTTTGTATGAATCAAATAGTTAACAAAGGGCTATATCACCTATACCATTTTGTTTAATATTCAACAAACCAGAGGAAGCAAACCAATTATTATTAGCAAAATTTTGCAGAGCTACTCAGATAAATCCACATTTAGGAAGGATTGGCTTAAAGGATCCTTCTACCCCAAGTGTGACAAAATGAAAAAGGAAAGAGGAAGGAACACTGAATGCTCAGAGATATTTCTCAGAATTGATAAAGTGGAAAGGATTAAGTGGAAGTTAAACAATTACCTAGTTACTACCACAGTAGCAGGGAAGTGGGTAGGAAGTAGGGAAGTCAGGCCTTCTGAACCCCTATCCCACGGCTGTGTGACAGCACCGCTCGGCTCTGCTGTAAATACCATACTATGCCTACCCAAGAAATGAGGGAAATGGCAGGGCAGAACATAAGTATCGTTCCAAAAAGAACACCTGAAGGAAACCACAGACAGAGGAAAAGTCCCTGTGGTCCCCAAGAGAAAAGAAACAAGAAGAAACTTAAGGAATGGAGAATACTATAGCTATAACTTCCCCCAGTCAAAAGATTTTTGCAAAGCAATGGAAAAACACGACTTAGTAGCAAAGAATTTGCTATAATATAACCTGATTATAGAATACAGTATTAGGCAACTTACTTTTAAAAAGTGAGATATATAAGGGGAGGGGGAAGTCATGAAATTTTTGAAAATTATAGGAAGTTTATGGCAAACGCTTATTAATAAGGTAGGTCATTTTGAAGCTTGTTCTTAAATACAAATCTCAATTTTCAGGATGAAATACTTTATTTCCAAAACAGACATTATAGACTCTTATTTTCCCTTTAGTTTCTACAAATGATTCTGAATCATACATGAATGAAGAAAAAAAGGAAGAAGATTTACTAAATAAGTGTATGCAATCAATGTCAATTGAAGAACAGGGAGAACATCTGATGTTAACTTGACAACTTGAGTATTGATGATGTGCCAAAGGTGGGGGAAGGGATTGTGAATTGTGTCCTCTCTCTACATTTAGAGCAGTATTGTTATTCAAGTAATTTTAGTTTGTTCAGAAACTTTTACGACAATATAAAAAGTTTGATGTAGTTTCATGTACTACTGATATTTATGTAATAAAATTTATGTGTAATACATGCTTGTATTCCTAGATACAATTAAAATTTATTGTCACCTAAAATATGAATTATTTTTCTTTAAAGCTGACAAATGCATTGTATAATTCTTTCTGTTTACAGATCCTAAAATAGCAACATTAGAAAAACCTGGAAGTATTTTCCTCAGGCTGAGAAAAACTCTGAATATCCTGATATAGAACAGCCTTTGATAGAGATAATACCCTGCCTTGTAGAGAAGGTGCTCAATAAGTATTATCTTCTTGAACTTAAAAACAGAAATATCAATTTGCCCTATCTTATGAAAACTGCCAAACACTTGGACTCTCAAACTAAAGATTTAAGTTTTAATACAACAGTACTAAAAAAAAAAATAATACAGCAGTACTATAATTAGTACAATAGTTATACTAACAAAAGAACTAGTCACATTTTCACTCTACTGTCTTTGCCTTCTAAACATCAGTGTTTAAAAAAAATTTTTTTTTAAATTTTTTGAGGTATAGTTGATATACAATATTATGTAAGTTTCAGGTATACAACATACTGATTCACAATTTTTAGAGGTTATACTCCATTTATAGTTATAAAATATTAGCTATATTCCCTATGTTATAAATATATCCTTGTAGCTTATTTGTTTATATTTTAAGTTTGTACCTCTTGATCCCTTTATTCCTATCTTGCCTCACCCCCTGGTAACCACTAGTTTGTTCTCTATATCCATGTTTCCTTTTTGTTATATTCACTAGTTTATTTTTCAGATTCCACAAGCAAGTGATATCTATAGTAATCTGTCTTTCCCTGACCTTATCTAGCATAATACCCTCCAAGTCTACCCATGTTGCTGCAAATGGCAAAATTTCACTCTTTTTAATGGCGAGTAATATTCACCACATCTTCTTTATCCATTCATCTGTTGATGAATCCTTAGGTTCTTTCCATATCTTGGCAATTGTAAATAATACTGCTATTAACACTGGGGTGCATGTATCTTCCTGAATTAAACATTAATGTTTGCAAAATTTTGTTAAAACTTAAAAGAACAGGGCATTTAAAAGCAACCCAGTCTGAAAAAATCTCTGGATTTACTATATCAATACTCTTTAGAAAATAAAACCTGAATCCAACATTATGATCTAGAACAGTTGTTAAGGAATGAGCTCTGAAAAGTCATCTTATATCTCATCTACCTTATCACTGGAACACTTGTCTGCAGTTTCATTTGGCCTCTTATTTTCATGATTTTTAAAAATTAAAACACAGTTTAATCAAGAAAGTATAAATGAAAGGTAACTGTTTATTACTGGAGAAGAGAAAAATGTATACAAGAAAGTCTAGATTCTTCCTCTTCATGCACTACTGGTAATAAAGTTCCAAATATCAACTATGAAGATATTTACAAGGATAAATTTTTCTTAACGTGTGACCATTTACTGTGTGGTGAACATTTTTTCATAGAAATCATATAGTTAAACTAAATATAATCTTATAGTTTACAAGAAGCTCCAACATTGTATTAACAGAAGACAATATATTTTACTGCAAAATATTATAAAAGTGATACAATTTTGTGGCTCTTAAATGTTTAATTACTTGAGTTGAACAGGGGAATGGAAAAAAAAAAAAAAAGCCCAGCAGAAAAATCAACAGGACAGGCCTGGCTTTAAGATTTTTTGTATTCGATTCGTTCTACTTTCACATCATCTCCAATTAGCTGATAAACGTAAGTGACAACTGTAGAAGCCTGGATATCCATCAACACAAATGAAGGAATAATGTTTCTGGAAGAAAATATAAATAATGTCATTGTTTTGTATTAAAAAGCCATAGCATTATTAATTTCAACTTAGGATGACAATTGGGTTTCAAGGAGAAATCTGGTTGTTAGACATACTAAAGATAATCACCAATAGAATACTGCCAAAAAGGCTGTAATTATTTAAATAATCACATCTTTTACAAAATGTCACATGTGCAATTATTAACTTTATAAAACCCCCAAATTGCATACTACTCACGTTTCCAAGGCATTATATGCTCCAGTGGCAGAACCTGGATTAATGTAGAATTTATTTTCATGCTCAAATGCTTCAAATTTATGTGTATGTCCTGAAATAAGAATGTCCACATCAAACTGCCTCTGCAATAGGGCTAGGCTGGCCATATCTCCCCATGGGATAACTTGATGTCCATGGATCAGACCAATTTTGAACTGCCCAACAGTCACAACTTTCTGCTCTGGATAATTCAGATTCTAAAATATGAAATAGACATAAAAAAATAGCTCAGAGATACTGATGTTTATAAATAACTTTCTTTTAAATATTCAGTCTCAAAAAAATAAATAAATATTCAGTTTCATATGGGTGTTTTGAAACAGTGTTCCACAACCAACAAATCTGTTAAATATCTGATTTCTTCTCAATCTCTAAGGGTATAACAGCTCAAAACATAACTTCCTTCAGGAGAACTGGAATTTATTATGCAATCTCCTTAAGTTTATTTTCATAGACTGTGAGTTCTTTACAGAGTAATTCCCCCAAATTTGTGTTTCCTCTAAGAATCCAAGGACTATGACCTGAAAGCTAGGATGTGTTGAAATTACATCCCAGGCTTTAATAGTTACATAGATGGCTTAGAATAATAATGACAGTTAACACTTATGTAGCACTTAGTATGAACTAGGCACTCTTCTAAGAGGTCATAAATGTCAACCTATGTAATACTTACAAACAACCCTAAGAGGTAGGTTTCATTTTGACCCCCATTTTATGGATGAAGAAAATAAGGCACAAAGAGGTTAAAATAGCTTGCCTAAGGTCACAGTTTATTAACTGTTTAAGCCAAGATCTAAACCCTGGAAGTATGGCTCCAGGGTTGGTAAATTTATGAGCAAATTAGAAGCAAAAAAATTTTGATTCTTGCTACTGAACCTAGCATATCACAAACAGAACTCCTAATATATTTTTAATAATCCAAACCTATACTCTGTTGACAAGATGTCTGCCCTTTCCCATTTCATCACCCCCAACCCTCATCCCACCTTCATGCCAACAACTCTAGTTTATTCAAACTTAACTGCAAAAAAAAGGAGCACCAGTGAAGTTAAATAATTTATGAAACATCTTCTATTTCCAGAAATACAAAATAAAAATTTCACACTAGAGTCAGGTTTACTAAGCTTGATCATACGGTGCTAACACTGGCAGGGGTCTTAAAAATCATCTATTCCAATCTTATTTACATAGTAGGGAACTAAGAAGATACAGCTTGCCTAAAATCTCAGTATTAATTAATAGGCAAAGTTTGAACTTTAGGACTCCTTATTTTTTCTCTAAGGCAAGATTTATTGAGATATAACTTCCATACAGGAAAATTACTCTTTTTGATATACAATTCAAGAAGTTTTGACAAATACATATAGTCGTGCTGCCACAATCAAGATACAAAAGTCTACCCCCTCCTCAAAACTTCTTCATGCCTGTTTATAGTTAACCCTTGAGATACGGAGCCATGGCAGGATTTTTAGCAGAGAAGTGATGTGATCTTACTTCACCTATAAAAGGTCACTCAGGCTACTACTTGGAGAACAAACTATGGAGGAAGCAAGGGTAGAATCAGGAAGTTGGACACAGTAAAGTGATATGGTGGCTTAGAATGGGATAGCAGAGGTGGTGGCAGTTAAACTCCTAACAAAAACTTTGCGTTCTAAATAATAACACTACAAAAAATAGTAACAAAACCGTATCAATCCAGTTAGAACAAGTATGGAACATTTAATAAGCAGTCTAAAATCAGGGATTTTCAAACTGTACATATAGTAATTTTTCACTGGAACACTAAGAAAAAAAAAATGACCTTAACAGTTGAGAAACTCTGGTCTAAAAAATAAAGCTTATACAAATATAAGAAGAAAAGGAAATATTTCATGAATATATAGTCAACGCAACAGGAAAAAAGAAAGAAAAAGGAAGAATTTGGGAAGGCAAAGGGAAGTACACCACCTCATCGAAGTCTCCTCTCACAATATGGACATCGCCAGCCAGAGTCTTGAGATAGTCATAACTCTCTTTGGTGCAAAGGTTTCCAGTGCAGAGAATGTGCTGAATCTTCCCTGGCACCAGCAGTTTTTTGAACTTAGCTGGCAAACTGTTGCACCGATGTGGGATGTGCAGGTCTCCTAATACCAACACCAACTTTAAAGTGTCAAGGTGAGAAAAGGTATAATGTTAAACATGATTTCAAAATAAGATATTCTCCCATAACTCTTTTAAATTAATCAGAGACTCCAGAACCCCAAAGAGCAGAACTTATTCACACAGTTCCTATCATGAACATTTTAACAATACATGTGATTCTAAATCAATCTTAGTTTATTTTGGTCATAAATAGGTGTGCACACAATACAAGTAACCATTCTTATTGAGAATAAAACCAAGCTTTCTAAAGTAATTCATTTAGAGACCTATAAAATTAAACTCCATAAAAAAACTGAAAAATATTCTGAGTCCTATGGAATTTGATATGGTAATTCACATTTCTGCAGTTTTAAATGTAAAACATATTGATTCCAGGGATATTAATAAAAAGAATGGTTAAAATTATAGAGAAAAAAGTTAATTCTATAATTTACTATGTTGACAACTATTTGGAGGAAGAGTAGCCAAAATTTACAATATTTGTTACTTAAAATATTAACTATACATTACAGAAAAATAAAAACTGCCTATACCTCAAAGAGTTTCAGTAGGACAAACGTGCTTTTGAATTATAATCTTTGTTATCCTCTCTTTCTTTCATCATTAGAAGTCCTGTCATATTTTTGTCTGGCTTAAATATCCTCAGTTTAGTTCCCAAACTTAAAATAACAAATCACAATTTTCATGTACATTAGAGCATTAAAAAAAGAAAGGAAGATCAACCAAATAAGTGATAAATTCAGCAGGAGGTGGTTTAGAGTTGGAACATAATCTCAGATGATAAAAACAAATTCTACACATAAATACAAAAGAATTAAAAAACCTCAATTTTGTGAATTTTTAATTTTAAAATTTCAAGATTTGACATGTATACATCATTTAACAGAATATTGTCAAAAAGGTCATATAAAAATAGTTATCTGCCCTCCAAAGGACAACAGAATCAATTTCTCCATGTGGATTAGTATTAGCACCTTCAGATGAGATCATGGTGGTATGGCCATAGACAGTGTGCTGCTCCTGCTGCTGCTGCTAAGTCGCTTCAGTCGTGTCCGACTCTGTGCGACCCCATAGACGGCAGCGCACTAGGCTCCTCTGTGCCTGGGATTCTCCAGGCAGGAATACTGGAGTGGGTTGCCATTTCCTTCTCCAATGCATGAAAGTAAAAAGTGAAAGTGAAGTCGCTCAGTCGTGCCCTACTCTTAGCGACCCCATGGACTGCAGCCTACCAGGCTCCTCCGTCCATGGGATTTTCCAGGCAAGAGTACTGGAGTGGGGTGCCACTGCCTTCTCTGATAGACAGTATAGGCACCTTCTTTCTACAATAGGATGTCTTCCCACAGATGTCCCATCCATAAGACCTTTAACTGGTTTCAAAGAAGGTATGACTATTCCTTAATATTACCAAAGAAAATATTGACTGTCTTAAACAAGATAAACAGAAAAGTTGGGCCACCACAGACTTTGTAAATTAAAATTAATGAAAAGGTGTAAAATTAAAATTATCACAACAATAAGCTTGATTCATCTTGCAACAAGTATCAAAATGATCACAAACAAAAGGAAATGTCAACAGAACATACAGTAACCAAAGTAACACAAGGTAACAAAACCCGTGCACTTTAAAAGAAATTATTAAATAAGCTTCTTTACAAAGAGTAGTTTCAGCTGGTATTTGCTCTATGACTTATATTGTTTCAATCCAGATCTCAGTGGACAAAACATCCATAAAACTAAAAACCACCACATAGTTTCCACCCTCAGTGGTAATTAATACAAAAGTACCTGCAGATAGAACAATCTTCATCTTTAGAGGGGGATCCCTTCAGATATGGATTGAAGTGCATAGTTAATGTGGGAAGCTGGCATTTAAGAAAAAGGTAAAAAAAACATATTTCTATATTAAAAAAAAAAAAGAACCTCAAACTCATAAATTAAGGGTATATGACTGTAACAGGTTGAAAATGTTTGGGACTAATCATGAATGAGCTGTTCACTCTGAGCGTGGCTGAACAAACATTCATAAAACGTGATACTTTATAATGATCAATAACCTGAATTCTATAAAGTACTATGGATTATGCCCAAGTGTACCTACACTATTAGCAGTTTAAAGACGTTAACAATGAAAGGCCACAAAGAAATTATTCCAAATTAATAAGGATCCTTACTAGGACTCTGGTTTCTTGCAGCTAATGAAGTTATATGGGGAACAGTGTCACATAACAAATGTCATACTTTGAGCAGCATCTTTGCCCAAATTCCACACTTTGACAGTGCAGGTTAGACATAGATTACATAGAGTCTTTTAAGATGGCAAAAGATTCTGGAAATGGCAGTCTTGTTAAATTCAAATAAAGAACCAATCTAATCAAAGCACAGAAAATTTGGTTACTTGCTATTTGATAGACTGTAAAAGGGTGAAATCCCAGTAATCAGCCACCCCACCACCACTGTTAGTAGGAGCTAAGAGAAGAAACTTACTCTGTGCCCAGCCTTAGTGGAATGAAGAAGTTGATTGCAGACAGGGGAATGAAAAAAAAAAAGGGTGAAACATGACCAATGTTAAAAGAAAGCAACGAAAAGAAACAAACCAAAAAAAGAACAAAAAACTCATCAAATGAATAAGCAAACAATTGTTAATGATTTCTGAGTGTTATGAAAGAAAATGTTAAAAATCAGCTTTGCTCAAAACAATACCAAAAGAACCATTTGCTGTACTATTAAACATCTCACACACACACACACACATTTACAATCTTTTCTAATTTTCTTAATCTCACTCTCCACTTTGACGCCTATCCCTTTTGTTTGTTGTTCTGTTTAGAATTTTACAAAACAATTTGGAAAATTCATCACCGGTAGCGTAAATGGAAGCTAACATTTTCTGGATTCTTTGGGCTTAATTATTCTTTAAATACATTGATTTTAATTCTCTTATGTTTAAAATTCTAATAGTTGGAAAATTATGCTGCAGCTAGGTCATTATTTTGTACAGAAGATCTAACACAGCACTATGAATACATCATCAAGTCACCAGATACTGGATGATAGAAGCAGACAACCTCCTCCAGCTAAAACTGGACTTTTCCCCACACCTAAATTTGTCGCCCACAGACTCTGGATACTGCTGAATATTAAACATTTTTAGTCTCTTTACCAAATAAAATGCTTTTAATTGTAAAAGAATCCATCAATGCTAAACCTTGCCCAGTTCTATTTCACATGAAAAGTGATACTTCAATACAACTACCCTGAAAAACTACCTCTCAAAAAAACCTCAGGAACATGAATACTTAAATGTCAGGTAATTTCATCTTCTCCCCGGGATAAGATGTCTCAAAATTACTGTTAACTGGACTACTCTAATCTGGAGTCTGTTTAGAAGCAAAAATCATTAAGTGAGATTAGAGTCTCTAGCATATACAAAGAACTAAAAGGACCACAGACCACGAATGTCACGGTTATAAGGCACCTTAAAGGTTGTTTGTTATAGAATCACGATTATCTTAAAAATGCACTGGATGTTCATCACAGAGAGAAGTCCCTTTTCATCAACAAACACCAAGATCATCAGAGCCCCTTTTCAAACCGTTCTTAAATTTTCAGAGAATCAAGGGCACTTTGAAAATCTGATTACAGCTATTAGGCATCTCCAGCAGCAGCTCCCAAGTTTTCACGTAGGAAGGTCTTAGGGGTACCGACTTATTGGGGGTGAGGGGGTGATGGGCCGGTCCGGGGCAATCCGATGTACAATGAGGTAAAGCTTCCCAAACTCCTCTTGGCCGCCAATGATGGCCCTTTAACTAGAAGAACATACGTACTCACAAAATCAGCTCGAAAACCATTAAGGAATTCTACTGTAAAGGGTCGCAGTATCCTGAAGAAGCAAGTAGTACCAGCAATTCTAACCCCCCCCCCCAAAAAAAAGCCAAATCCAGTCCTTTGAGGGTACACCGCCACATTTCAATGGCATCTGCATGTTATTTCAGGGAAGAAAGGAGACTTCTTATCCCATTTCCCCAAATAGCAAATTAAAATGGGTAGGGAATTCTACTCGCTTCTTCCCGTTTTGCATCCGAGAAGCCAGTTTTCGCCACATGGGGGTGGTAACCAGTGGGTTACCAACCAGCGGGAGGTGCTTTTTGCGGGAAAGGAACTAGGAAACGTCTGGAAACGGAGGAGATCCCGTGGCTCCTTTCTCGGGGACTCCCAAGACACAGGCCCAAAGCCTTTCCCGGCTCGGGCGTGCGGGTCTCGTGACACAAGAAGCAGCTGAGAGTGGCCCTTTTCGCCTTCGGACGTCCTCTGGCCCCTGGGGCTGGGATGCAAGGCCCGGGCTGGCCGCACCCAGAGGTGGCCGCTCTCTTTCCTCCTTTGCGTTTCCCCAGGCACCAGCCCAGGCCGCGGGCGCGCCCGTCACGGCCTCCAGGATCACCCAAGCCCTCGCCCAGTGACTCCCAGCGGCTCCCAACGACGCAGAACCTCAGCCGAGAGGCAGGCCTCGGTGGTCGCAACTGCGGTACTCACCATCCTGTCACTGGGCTCCGCTCAGTCACCACAATCGCCGCCGCCTTCTCTTCCTCACACTTCTCGGCGACCCACCCACCTCGCTCAAAACCAATGAAAAGAGAGGTCAGCAAGAGACCGTTCTACGGAGGCCCGCGCGGGCCCTTATCCGCCGTAAAGCGAAGTTGTTCTTTGGCAAATGGGGTGGGGGCAAAATCGCGAAGTTTCGAAGCGCGGGCAACATCCGGGCAACATCTGGGGCCCTCGGTCTGAGGCGGCCTGTGTGACTTGACTTTTTAGGAATTGCAGCCATGCTGAAATGTGTGATGAGCGGCAGTCAGGTGAAAGGTGCAGAGGCCCATTTTGCCTTCCTGTGTAAAAAAGGGAAAGCTTAGGGTTTGTGGGCGTGGGGACGTTTCCAACGGTGTCTCATTTCTTGACCTTTGTCTTTATGCCTAAGGGACATAAGACGTGGCCATAGCCAGCATCCACTCACCCAGGGTCTTCTTAACTTCTGAGGAGAAAATGAAGGCTCATCGGCTTTTATTTATGCGTATTATTTATATTCATAGATGTCCATGAAATGAAGTTGAGCCACTGGGACAGGTAGTGGAAGGGTAGGCTTCAAACTCGGGGTGATAAGGAATGTGTGGGAAATTGGGAAAAATAACGCTTGGACAGTTAAAAGTATTTTAGCGCGATAAGAAAAGCATAAACCGTTTTTATTCCAAATTCTAACATTTTTAAATGTATGACTTGGGACAAGCCATTGAATCCCTTCAGGGCTCAGTTTCCTCATCTGTGAAACGAGAATAATAACACCATCTTCATTATAGTATTTGTTGTAGTTTCAATTAGCAATAATCGCGCCTCGGATAAACCTCTTTGGCTACGATACTGCCACTGCGCAAAGCTTAGTATTTGTTGTAGGAATGAAATGCGGGTAAAGAGCTCAGTAACAAATGGTAATGTACAAGAACTAATCCTTATTATAAATGGTACTTTAACGTCTCTGTTTAGAAAAGTAATGGTTTTCTACAGATCATAATCTGAAAATGATCATTGAAAGGCATTTGTGTCGCAGCTGGCTCCCGCTATGTTGAGGGCATCTATGGAAAAATATTAATGAGCAGGAAAGAAAAAGATCCCCATGGTTGCATGTTTTCAGAGTTCTAGAAAGTTCTCTTTTGCAGTGTGTACCTTGTTCTCAGTAAGTGATAATTTGTATGATTGTTTAATTTTGTTTTTTCTCCAGAACCTAAGCACTGTGAGGGTGGGAACTGTAAACCTGTCTAGTTCATTGCTATACCCCCATTGCCTTGTCTTATACCCTTGGAACCTGCTAGGGGCTCAGTGAATATTAACTGAATGAACAAAAAGTCTTCATTAGCTAGCTCCAGGAAAGAGTGGTGAATTGAAGTGTTAAAAAAGGGCCACTTTTTTTTTCCCCCTAGTCATCCTGTGTTCTGAGTTTGAGGCCCGCGCCTCCAGTTCTGATTCTTTTGTGCCCCCATCTCTTTCTTAGCATGCCATGTGGCTTGTGGGATCTTAGTGCAGAGTCCTAACCACTGGACCAATCATACTATGATGCTCCCAACTCTGATTCTTAAGCATAATATGATTTTACATTCTAGAAATATTTTTCCTTTTTTTCTACTTTTCCATGAATTGATATGGCCATCCTTTTTTATTGAAGCATAGTATCCCATATCTGTTTGCCATATTTTTTTTTTTTACTTATTCATAATTTTTAAGAACACTAATGGTGTCATACCAAATCAGACCAGTATTTCATCCAGGCCTAGCTACTCTTTATGACAGGGCATCTAATTGTTTTCTGGCGAGATCTGGCATGATCCATGCTCAAGTATCAGAGATATATCTTGAATGCCTCTAATTTCTCTCCTATAATTTGTTTTGACTTTGCCACCTGTGAAGTTATGAAAACCCTTTGAACCATTTTCTATATGCTCTGCTTCCACAGTTTTTTTTTTGCAGTAAGGGATATACATTTAAACCAAGTTTAAAAATGCTTTAGTATGGACATTAGCTACCACAATAGTTGCGTGCAACATTTTTAACATCTAGAAAGAAAGGATTTTGTTGCATTTTATTATTTCATGCACCCAATCTGTGAATTTATTGAGCACTTATTATGTGTCTGGAATTTTGCCAAGGCCATTATACTGTATTTCTTAAAGCAGTTTGTAGCATTGGTCTGTAAAACACTGTTCTTTGTGAATTTATCCTGAGTCCTTCGAATGCTGAAGTAGTTCCATGGTTTATTTTTATTGTTTGAAAGAATGTAAACAGCATCTTTCTTTTTCTCCATAGTATTTGGGAAAGCAATCCAAGCTCTCTCACGAATTAGTGATGAGCTGTGGCTAGACCCCTCTGAAAAAGGTGTAAGTAAGAAATTTAGCTCATAGACCATCAAGTAAGGGCATAAGATGATGTTTAAAAATCCCAGTCCAGATTGAATGTTAACTAGGAAATCCAGAAACTGTAATTATCCCTTCCACTGTTGATATGTATTTTACATATCTGAATACATTTAGAGCATGGTAAACTTAAGATCATACACAATTGATTTAAGCCAGAATCACAACCTGGTGGTCAAGAGGCTAGATATGACTTGCAGAAATGTTTTGTGGGGTCTGTACTGTTTTTTTAAAAATTGAAATATAACACAGGGAGTGTGATTTGGTGCTCTGTGATGACCTAGAGGAGTGAGATGGGGGAGTGGGAGGGAGGCTCAAGAAGGAAGGGAATATGTATACTTATAGCTGATTCACATTGTTATACAGCAGAAACTAATACAATATTGTAATGCAGTTATCCTCCAATTTTAAAAAATTGAAATAATTTTCTAACAGTAGTTGAGAGAGTACACATAAAAATCTGAATTTCTTGCTTCTCTTGAAAACTGAGAAGATCTGCTAGTTTGGGGCCTGCATTCCCAAGTGGAAGTATTAATGGTTGACTGACTAACAATTTTTTACCTTAGACAAGGTAAGACTGCCATTTTGCTGCAGTCTTTTTACTTCCTTTCGTATTATTGCCTTTGATCACGTTGTACTTTAAAGTTAAGGTGCCTGTGAGCATTTACATGTTTGCAATTAAAAATATGTTCTTTTTGGCAAAACAAACAAAAAATACAAATTCAACATGCAGGATTTTAGTCTTAAAACCTATGAGTCTAGTATAGATATGGACACATATGTGTATACATATGCAAATTACAAACACACTCTAAAGGGGCTTTTCTGGTGGCTCAGTGGTAAACAATCCACCTGCCAATGCGGGAGACGCCGTTTTGATCCCTGACCCGAGAAGATCCCAAATGCTGTGGAGCAACTAAGCCCCTGTGTCATAACTATTGAGCCTGTGCATTGAGGCCCGGAAGCCACAACTGCTGAGTCCAAGTGCTACAACTGCTGAAGCCCATGCTCCCTAGAGCCCGTGGTTCGCAACAAGAGAAGCCACCACGTTAAGAAGTCCGTGCACCGCAGCTAGAGAGTAGCCCCCGCTTGCCGCAACTAAAGAAAAGCCCATGCAGCAATGAAGACCCAGCACAACCAAAAAAAGATAAATAATTTTTTAAAAACACACTGTATAATGCAGTTCATATTATAGCAGTATTATAATTCATATGTATAATGTGGTCCATATAATGCAGTTAACATCCCATAGCTTACTTGAATACATTTCAATGACATGCTGAACATATTAGATTTTTTTTTAATTAATCATTAAAGAAACCTGATTTGTTTTCCTATATGACTGTTATTTTATTTTTCTAGCTTGCTTTAAGATCTGTGAATTCTTGTCGGTCAGCATATGGATGTGTCCTCTTCTCTCCTGTGTTTTTTCAACATTATCAATGGTCAACCTCAGTGAAAATGAATGATACTGACATAATATTGAATTTAAATTGCAGATTGGGAATGAAGGTAAGTATAAGAGGGCCTGATTTCCTCTTGTGTTGTAGAAATGCTCAATATATAGGGTATAAGACCTATCCTGTTCTTAATACTTGGTTTAAATTGCATACAAGACAGGTCTGTTCATTTAAGAATATAAATACTCTTGTTAGATTTTTTTAAAGTAATCAAGCAACCATGTTAAGTATGTGCTGTTCTCTAATGTGTTTGCGTTACAGTCAATTCTGCCCATCTTTAGATGTCTGAATTCCCTAGAGAAAAATGTGGAGAAGTGCAAAATATTTACCAGATCTGATAAGTGCAAAGTAGTTATTCAGTTCTTCTGCCGACATGGTAGGTATAGTTAAATCTAGTTTAAAGTATGTGGATTTTTTGTTAATATTGTTCACGTTTAGAATATTCAGACTGCAATATTGCTTTGAATTTGTGTAGTCTGTGGTAGGGAGGTTGTAAATATTATTGTACTTTTCTCTGTAGAAGTATTGTGAGATGACTGGTATTAATTCTTTCTTTTTTTGGCTTGTCAGTGGCACAGGCTATGCCTACATACAGACCAGTTGGGTTGTGGGGTTTTTTTGCCATATAGGATCTTATTTCCCCAACCAAGGATCAAGCCCATGCCCCCTGCATTGGGAGCATGGAGTCTTAACCACTGGATTACCAGTGAAGTCCCTAGACTGATTTTTTAAATGTTCATCTGAACTCTCACAATTAATTATTCTAAAATTAACTAACTGCTGGATGATATTCTGTAAGCATGCCTTGTTAACAGTGTTCCTTGGAAAGACAGAAAAAGAATAATGCCTACTTGTATTAGAAGTGCTCTGAGTCCAGCCCCTCAATTGTAGGATCCAAGACCTTCATTCATTCTCTCTGATACACCAAAGAGATTTCCTGCCTCCCGCCTTGCAAGGTAGATATTCAAATGTTGTAGTCATATAGGATTTTACGTGGTTAAATATATATAGCATGATAATAAGGAGCATGGCGTCTGGAGGCCCCAAGGCCTGGGTGGAACCCTGCACTGCTGCTTCCTTGCTGAGACACCGGGCAAATTATTTTACTTTGTGCCTCAGTTTCCCTTATGTAAAATGGGGACAATAGTAATACAAGCCTTCTAGGGTTTTTGTGAAGATTCAGTGAGTTATAGGAAGTTATAGCTCTGCAATGTTTAAAGAAATACCTGGCATAGTTTCTAAGAGGTATCACTAGTACTAAGTTTTCAGTTTCTTAAGTATGTCTCAAGTGACTTGATTAGTGTCCAATACATATTTGTGATTGGTAGATTTTTAATAGCTTTTGTTGGGAAATTATATGAGTTAGGATGCTCTAAGTTACAAGTAACAGAAAGAAAGGAAAAACACCCAGAAAATCCAACTCAAACTGACTTAAACAGTAAAGAGGAATGTTGGCTCATATAAGCTAAAAGTTCAAAATTAGATCAGAGGAGTGGTTTGACCCAGGCTGCAGCAGCTGCTTCTCCTTCTCCTTCCTTTTAAAATTCTCTCAGCTCTACATTCCTCCATGTGATTTATACTAAGTCCAACTTCTCTTAGAAACTTTTAATAATAAGGTGACTTCTAGCAGCAGCTGTTGGGGCCACATGCTTGCTCTTTTATATCCAAGAGGAGTGAGAGTCATACCTCATACGTGCATTGAACAAAAGTGCTTGGCTTGGCTCTGATTGGACCAACCTAAACTAATCCTGGGGGGCCACGGGAATTCCATTCTCTAATTGCCTTGGCTTATTGCCATATCTGGACCAAATTCAATCACAATGGAGATAAGATTACATCAATTGATTTATACCAATGAGGGCCCACAGTGATGCTTGAAGTGAAGCTGGTGCCTCCCAAACCTCATGGCGGCTACACAACAGGGAAGGATGGCTCAGGAAGGAAGGGGAACAAAGGCAATAGATGCTAGTATAGTAATTGGGTAAATATTAATACTTATATTTTCCAAAACTCTCTGTACTCAGGAAATTATGCTTGCAATTTTATTTCTATAATCTGGCAGGGAAACTGTTCAAATTTAGTTGAGAAAAATCACCTAGGCAGAGATGTCCAATAAACTGCTAGAAATACATATTTGGAATTTGGGAAGAAATTAAGGACAGTGAAGTAAATTTGGCTGTCTTCATTGATAGAAAACAGCTGTGAAAATATGAGCCACTAAAAAAGACTAATTTCTCTGAATCTAACCACAAGTAGTTCCCAGAATGGTGATTTCTTAGAGTATTTAGCATCTATTAATAGAAAAAAGATGATTTATGTCATCAAGAACCAAGATTCATGTGAAATATTCACCTGCCTAATAATAATTCTATGAACTGTCTGTATTTTCATTTGCAGAAGTCCCAGAGTAGCTAAAAATGAGTCAGTGAGTTGTCCTTGAAGAACTTGCTCTGCTGATCCAAAGCACCTGGTACTAAGTTCTGTTCTGATCAAGAAAACAGGTCTCCAACAGAGAGGGGATTCCCTAAGAGGGGGGCACTGGCTATTTGAGTGAAAATAAAACCCTGATTTGTACATGTATATTAATGATGTGTGTCAAGAGGGCAGGATCCCCACTTCAGGGTTTTAAGATTTTTTGAAAGGTCATTTACAGATGTACTCATGACTAAACTTTGGTAACAGTGAATGTAAAGGGATTAGGAGCATCCCTTGTAAGATTTTTGAACTATCACTAACCTCTGAAATTCCAAACTCCGCAAATGGAACATCTCCAAAATAACGCTTACTCCTTAGCTGTGCCTCTTCAGGTCTGAGAGAGTTCTCTGGAGCCACTGAAGGAAGGTACAGATTGAGCTATGAAATAGCAAGCAAAATTCTATCATAGCATCAGGTATCCCATTGCTGGGAGCAGATGGTACAGACCAGTGCTATCAAGTGGTCCACGGACTGGCGGCTGGACCTCAGACTGTTTGTTACTGGTCTGTGAGAAGATGAGGAACTTAGGCCAGAATTTAAGTCAACACTACTAAGCATTCTATTTAGTTCAGCTGTTTTGTTTTATTGTTGTTTCAATAATAAGACTTTCTTAACGAAGGAAGAAATTCTGGTGAAAATTCCTTGTCTCATTATAGTCCAGTACTTTGTGCAGCACTAGAAAAAGTCAGTAAATGACACAGAGTAAACAGGACTTAAAATTTTTATCCCATTTGCATTCTATCACAGAAAATTATTAAACTAGAAGGCTAGAAAAAAATGCAATGAAGAAGTACATCAAGCCAAGTTACTTAATTTTTTAAAAAGATTTATTTATTTATTTTTGGCCACGCTGGGTGTTCATTGCTGCATGGGTTTTCTCCAAGTGCAGCGAGCAGGAGCTACTGTCTGGTGGTGGTGCACGGGCTTCTCATCGTGATGGCTTCTCGTTGCAGAGCACAGGCTCTAGGTGTGTGGGCCTCAGGAGTCGCAGCACGAGGGCTCAGTTGCAGCTCAGGGGCTCTGGATAGAGCACAGGCTCAGCAGCTGCGGAGCACGGGCTCAGCTATCCCGCGGCATGTGGGATCTTCCTGACCAGGGGTGGAACCTGTGTCCCCTGCATTGGCAGGCAGGTTCTTAGCCACTGGACCACCAGGGAAGCCCCCAGCCAAGTTGCTTTTATTTTTAATTATTTTTAAATGTACTTTCATTAAAGTGAAAGTGAAGTCGCTTAGTCGTGTCCGGCTCTTTGCAACCCCATGGACTGTAGCCTACCAGGCTCCTCCATCCATGGGCTTCTCCAGGCAAGAATACTGGAGTGGGTTGCCATTTCCTTCTCCACCAAGTTGCTTTTGAAAGGGTAAAATGGATGTACTTGAGAGAGAGAAGGTGAAGAGGAAAGGTTTTGTAGGTGCTGGCCCACATCTGGGTACATTTCCAATGGTCAGAAATGGGAGGGCATTCTGCTATGAGGAAGCAGTGTGATCAAAGGTCTAAACTGAAAGTGTCTTGTTTGTGTTAACGAAAAAGGGGAAGGAAGCAAGCAGCAAGAAAAAGAGCCTCAGGGGTGACAAAGAAATAAGGCATCTCTCAACTTGGACATCCTTGGTAATACCAATACAGTATTCACCTGAGTCAGATATTTGTTACAGAGGTATGATTGTGCTTGTATATGCATGGACTGTTTCTGGAGAATACCTAAGAAACTGGTGACAGTAGTTACCTCTGAAAAAGGTACTGGAGTGGCAGGAGTCAGAGGTGGAGGGTGACTAACTTTCATTGTCTATTTTTGGTAGTTTTTAAATGTTATGCCTTACGCATCTATTGTCTTCTATTATATATCCATCTAAAAGTAACTTAAAAATATTTTTTAAAATAAGTAAGATATGCCAACTTTTGAGCTTCATATCTTTCCAAAATAGCAGCCACAGTAATAACCTTTAAAATAGATCAGATTATGTCACTCCAGCTCAGAACTCTCAAAAAGCTCACTATTGTACCCAAGATAGAAGCTGAAGTGGCCTGTGAGGTTCAACATGATCCAGGAGTCCCAGGCATGCTTTCTCCTCAAGGGCTGGGCAGCTGTCCCCTCTGCCTTGCAATCTCCCTCTCCAGACAGCGCATGGTTTGATCTTTTGAAGACCTCCTTCAGTCTTTGCTCAAATGGCATCTTTTCAATGAGGTCTTCCTTGAACTCCCTATTTAAAATTGCTACCCCCACCACTGGCACTCCCAGCTCCCTTTCTGCCATTTTTTAAAAAAATTCCTGTGTACTTAATCACTTTGTGACATGTGTGCATGCATGCTAAGTCGCTTCAGTCGTGTCTGATTCTGTGCGACCCTGTGAATTGTAGCCCGCCAGGCTCCTCTGTGCATGGAATTCTCCAGAGAAGAATATTGGAATGGGTTGCCATGACCTCCTCCAAGGAATCTTCCCAACCCAGGGATCGAACCCGTGTCTCTCTCCTGCATTGGCAGGCAGGTTCTTTATCACTAGCGCCACCTGGGAAGCCCATTATGTGATATACCAACTGTTTCATTAATTCTTATTTTCTTATTGTGTGCCTGTCTTTACTAGAACGTAAGGTTTGTGAGGTCGAAGATTTTTGTCCAAGTTGTTCTTCACTGGTCCATAGCTCCCAAATCATCTCTAGTGTGGTAGATTACAGAAAAAAAAACAAACTCATAAATTATCTGAAGGCCTTCCCTTCAAAAGCTGAAGTCTGTTTCCCCACTTCAAATCTCAGCTGACCTTGGACTTGCTTTGATATCAGTAGAATGCACTAGAATTGGTGCTGTGTGAGTTCCAAGCCTAGGCCTCAAGAAGCCTGTCAGTTTTCATTGTTAAACTAAGAACATTTCCATCAACATGAGAATAAGCATAGCCTGTGTAGACACCTGAAAGATTGGAGACCATGCGGTGTGAGGCCCCAGCCATCCAGACTGCCCCAGTGTCCCAACTGTGAGGCCTCGGATATGAAAGTGAGGCCATTCAAAACGATCCAGCCACTGTGAAACCAGCCCAAACCAGAGGAGCCACTTAACTGAATTGTGAAAAATAACAAACGCTTGTTATTTTGAGTCACTGTATTTTTGATGATCATTAAAAACTAATTGATAAGCCTGACAGACAGTAACTGCTCAGTAAATATTTGTGGAAATAATAAATATTGCTGTTACTAATTCAGTTAAAAAATGAGTTGAAAAATGCTATTTAGAGTGAATCCTTTTGATTCTCGTTGTAACATTATTATGCTGTAGAAAGTTGTAGCCTACCTGGATTTTATTACATGGGCTCTATGTTCAAACTTAGATTCAGGAAAAAAAAAGAAAGAAACTTAAATTCAAATTCTGACTATACTTATTAAAACAGCTTAGCTTTGAAGTCATTTAACCAAGCTCAAGCTATAGTTTCCTCTTCTGAGATTAAGTACCTACCCCATAGAGATATTGAGAGGATCAGAGATAATGTCTGTGCAATGTATACTGTAGTTGTGGGTACACTGGACCATAGCCATTACTCCTCCCCACTCCTCTCATCCTCTCAGAGGGAAAGAACACACCGATTCAATGCTCCTGTTTTATTTTCAAAGGTCCCATTCAGAAATATCAACCATGGTTGAAAAATTCTGAAAGAAGTCATAGATACCTGATTGGTAGTGGGCAATTACTATTTTACACACAATTTAAGAAATTACCCATATTTCAAAAGAACGTGGGAACTCTACTGCCTAATTGTTTGGAGGGTGTGACATGTTACATAGTGTCCACTAGGGAGCGATAAACACATTCATTTAGGGTTAGTGTTTCTTGTAAGTTATGTGCACCTGCTAGATATTAAGTATTACTTTAATTTTATTATTTAATCTGAACTTAAAGTGTAAAAGTCTTTAATTTTTTTTAATTTTATGCTTAAAATTATTAATGGATTGTTTTACTATTTTTAAGGTATTAAAAAGATTCATAATGTGTGTTTTCAAGAAAGTCAGCCTTTGCAAGTTATTTTTCAAAAGAATATGTGTGCTAATACACTAGTGATTCAGCCAAGGTAATGAGCTCTCTGTTGTTTTTTTCCTTAATATAGTATGGTCACAGAGTAAAGAATTAATGCCCTAGAACTTTTAAATCAATTACATTTTTTAAAGCTAACATTAGACTTGGAGAAATCACCTACAGGATCAAGAGTAAACCTGAAGAAAGGTAATAGTAGATAATAACTGCCTAATGGTAGAAATAATAATTTATTGGCCAAGAAAGTTCTAGAAATATCCCATCAGTGGCTTTCTACATCAAGTGATATTAAGAGAAAAATATATTATCTGATAACACTTTGCCTTTGTATGGTGCTTTTATAAGATACTGTGTGTCTTAAAACACACAGCACGAGGAAATCTTAACAGTTTTTATGTGATTGATTTTATCCCTGTTTGTTTTTTCCTAGAGAATGAGTGAGAGGTATTTGTCAGTGAGGGAGAACTCAATTTTTCAGTTAAACCGTAGCATTAAACATTAATTATTTTGTAAGCCAAAAGATGTTTTACCCTTACTGTTTTTTATTTTATTTATTTATTTATTTTTACCCTTACTGTTTTTTTAAATTACAAAAGAAATACTCCTTGTAATACATCTAAAATTTATAGAGAAGTGCAAAGATGAAAAATGAAAGTCTTTCTCCTCTACTTACCCCATATATTGCACTTGGCAGGCATAACATCTATTAACAGATTGGTGTATATCTTTTTACCTCTTCTATTTATAGTCAGTTTGTCTATAACTTTCCCTCTCCCTATATCTATGGATACCTTTCTGTCTTTCAAAATTGTATCACATACTTTGTTGTTTAGTTGCTAAGCTGTGTCCAATTCTTTTGCAACCCCATGGACTGTAGCCCACCACGCTCCTCTGTCCATGGGATTTTCCAGGCAAGAATACTGCAGTGGGGTGCCATTTCCTTCTCCAGTGGATCTTGTTGACCCAGGGGTTGAACCCACATCTCTTGGATTAATAGCAGATTCTTTACCACTGAGCCACCTGGGAAGCCCCCAACACATACTGAGTCCTGGAAGTGAAACTGCTGGGTCAAAGGCTTAAACAAATTTTAAATTTGCATACATATGGACTAGCCAATTGCTATCTGAAAAGTTTGTGCCAATTTACATTCCTACCGAAAGTATAGGAGAATCCTTCCAAGTTAAGGATTATGATTAATCTTCAAAAATTTTGCCAACCTGTTGGGTAGAAAATGGCATTTTAAAATGTTCTTTACTATGTCTGTTTTATTACTAGGGGGCTTGAGCATCTTTTTACATTTATTAGAAGTTTGTATTTTTCTTTTTTGAATTGCACATTCATGTTGTCATTTTTTGTATCAGCTTGTTTGATATCTTGTACAACACCTCTCCCTTAACACTGGAAAAGTTCCCAGATTAATTTGGTAGGTGTTCCTGACATTTTGGCATTGAGAAACACTGCTAATCTAAAATCTAGCGTCAGGTTAACACGAACATTACAGAAATTCTAAGAATCTCATTTTTATATAACCTCACTTTGACTAAAAAAATAAGCCAGAAATTTTAATTCAATAATAAAAAGATAAATAACCTAACTAAAAAAAAATGGGCAAAGGATTTGAATGGATATTTTTCCAAAGAATATACGCAAATGGCCAACAAGCATATGAAAAGATGATCAACATCGTTAGTCCTTAGGGTAGTGCAAACCATACAGCTTTAAATCTGAGAACTGTGTAGAATATGAATTGTATCTCAGTGAAGGTGTTTTTAAAAAGGGAACCCAGGATGAGAGGGCACTTGGGATGTCAGGACAGCCTGTACCAGAGGCTGAACCCAGGCCCCGGCAGTCAAAGCGTGAGTCCTAACCACTGGAACACCTTGGAGTTTCCAACGGTGTGATTTTAAGATATACAAAAAAATACAGCAGATCATGTAGAAGAATAGAGATGAGTCTTTTGGGTAGATTCACCTGTTTATTTCCAGATTAAAGATTTGAGTTCCATTTCATAAGATAATTTCTTTCTGTTTCTTCTTCAAGTAGTGTAATATTGTTCATTGCATTTTGTAGGGTGCTTGCTGAGGCAGTTGTTCTTTTTACATCGAGTCAAGAGGAAGTTACTCTTGCTGTTACTCCGCTGAAGGTTTGCATTAAGAGTTCTAATGAGGAATCAATGGGTAAGGATTATATCTGTCACTGTGCTTTGATGGAATATTACTTCCTGGCTTTCCCGGTTACTCTATGGTTATACAGTAAATATTACTGGCATAATATTTATTCTTGACTAAAAGGCAGTAAAAGTAAAACATAGAAAGATCATCAAAATTTTCAAGAGACCAAAGAAATTTGTCAACCAGTAATTAAAATACCTGGCTTTGAAATTCAAATTGTTTTCAAATTAGGAGAATGGTTACTGAGAAAAATATTTTTTCAGTTGAAATTTTAAGGTCTATTTCTTATCTTTTGTATTTAGCATAAAGGAAAGGAAGAGGCCAGCCATCCAATGGAGATGATCTTTGACCACATAAAAAGGAAAATTAACTTTAAGTTAGAAATGTAGGATATTCCAGATGGCAAATATATAGGGCAGAAAATGTGAATATTTCTTTAGTTCACTCTTCTAAGAGCTATCCAGATGTAATGGAGACACTATGGCATGATTAAATCTGGAGTTTTGCTATTAAGGAAATTTACTAAGGTATTTTTGGAATAAGCTGAGATTCTTTGATGTTGGATAATTTGGGGGGTGATAGCAGTAAAGAAAGAATATAAAGGTAGATACATTATTTGAAAGCAAAAAACTAGTGTAACTAGGGCTTAAGGTGGGCCACATGACTTTGTAGTGTTTAGTTTGTGCCAGATGCTGTTCTAAATGGTTTACATATGTGAATCCATTTGATCTTTGCAGCAACTCTATGATGTAGCTACTGTTAGTATCCTCATTTTCCATATGAACAATATGAAGCACAGAGAAACTAAGTGACTTGCTGCTATCACACAGTTAATATGTGGATTATGATCTGAATAGAGGCTGTCAGGTTCCAGGGCTTAGGCTTATTACCACCGTGCTCTTATTGCTTCTCTCAAGTCTCATCTAGTATTCTTTTTTGGCACTTAGAAGTGCATGATCTGGAAAATATATGCGTGGCTACTGAGAGGGTCTGTTTTATATTCATAATGCCATCTCTGAATAAAGATGGCCATTTAGTAACCAGGAGACGCTATCCCTTGTGAGCAGCTTTCTAATGAGTGGTTATAGTTATGATTGACTCGGGACCCAGTTGTTTAATTTTATTATTGAACCTACTCTATGCCAGCACACTGGGAGTGACATGAGCCTTCTTTTCTCAATTTATTTTTTTAAGTATTCTTTTTTTGTATTCTTTTCCATCATGGTTTATTGTAGGATATTGAATATAGTTACCTATGCTGTACAGTAGGACATGTTATCCATTTTACATCTAATAGTTTGCATCTGCTAATCTCAAACTCCCAATCCAACCCTCCCTTGCCCTCCCCCTCCCCCATAGCAACCACAAGTCATGACATGAGCCTTCTTGATCGAGATGAAGGTATTTGTAAGGTATTGTTTGGTCCTTTTAAAATATAAATACTATTTCTCCTTTGTTCTTATGCTTAAATAATTCATGTTCATTGAAGAAAATTTAAAACATACAAAAAGCACTAATAAAGTCACCTGGAATCCCCCTATCTGGAGAAAAACACTTAATGTATAAAAACACTTTTCTATATCTTAGATCTGAGAACAGGAGATTGGTTTAATAGGTGAAATACAGTGAAGCTATTATTAAAAGTAGTCTTGGAAGTTCCCTGGTGGCCTAGCAGGATTCCAGGCCTTTACTGTCATGGGCCTGGGTTCAGTCCCTGGTTGGGGAACTAAGATCCTGCAAGCCACGCTGCACAGCAAAAAAAAAAAAAATAGTCTTGTTTGTGTGTATACATACATTTCTTTCTCTCTGGGTATGTATATCAAAGATGTTTATTGAAGTTAATATTGTAGAGGAAAACACAAAACACCAACACACACAAATAATTTGGAAAATGTACTTATTGACATAAGGGACTGAGCTTCCCTCATAGCTCAGTTGGTAAAGAATCTGCCTGCAATGCAGGAGACTCCAGTTTGATTCCTAGGTTGGGAAGATCCCCTGAAGAAAGGAAAGGCTACCCACTCCAGTATTCTGGCCTGGAGAATTCCATGGACTGTACAGTCTATGGGATCACAAAGAGTGGGACACGACCGAGCAACTTTCAGTTATTGATGTGGAAATATAGCCAGGATATATTATTGAATAGATTATAAAATGGTATGCATAGTATGATCATATTTTCATTTTAAAAATGCACATGACATTTTAATAAAATATTAGAGAACAAAATTCACCTGTTATTGTCTGTCTTTTGGATTATAGCCATCCTAGTGGGTATGAAGTGTTGTCTCATTGTGCTTTTGACTTTCATTCCCCTAGTAACTAATGATGTTGAGTATCTTTTTTTGTGTGCTTATTGTTTATTTGTATATTTTCTTTGGAGAAATGTCTGTTCATATCCCTTGTTTATTTTTCACTTGAGTTATTTGTCTTTATTGTTCTGAATACTAGTCCCTTATCATATGTGCTGTGCTGTGCTAAGTTGCTTCAGTCAACTCTGTGAGACTCTGTGGACCAGCGCCTGCCAGGCTCCTCTGTCCATGGGCTTCTCCCAGCAAGGATACTAGAGTGGATTGCTGCGCCCTTCTCCAGGGGATCTTCCCAAGCTAGGGATCAAACCCGTGTCTCTTACGTCTCCTGCATTGCTAGGCGGGTTCTTTACTACTAGCACCACCTGGGAAGCCCCCCTTATCATATATATGATTTCAAGTATTTTCTCCCATTCTGTGAAGTTGATTTTTTACTTGCCATTTTAAAATTTTTTGGCCACCCCTCCTAGCTTGTGGGATAGAGGAAGTGGAGGTGGCAGTCTCTTAATGCCTGGGCCCACACCACAAACTAGCACTAGATCACTCCCTCACATACTATTAGTGAGAGTAGACAGAAAGCCCACTCACCCCAAGGGGTAGGGACACAGATAGAGACCCTACCACTCAATGAGGAAATGTCAAAGAACTTGTGGCTATTTTTAACCTACAATTTATGGTTATATTTACTTTTCTTTTAAAGAAAATATTTATTTATTTGGCTGCACTGGGTCTTAATTGCAGGATCTTCCATTTTTGTTGCACTGTGTGGTATCTTTAGTTGCAGCAGGGGAACTCTCAGTTACGAAATGTGGGATCTAGTTCCCTGACCAGGTATTGAACCCCAGCCCCCTGCATTAGGAGTAAGGAGTCTTAGCCACTGGACCACCCGGGAAGTCCCTGACTATATTTTCTTATTAAAATTTCAGAAATACCTACAGAATTGATGTTATTCTTTGTTTTCCTCTTGAACAGACCTGACCAATTCTGTATACAGTGAGATGTTTGTTGGTCCAGATGAGTTTGACTTCTTTCAAGTTGGAATTGACACTGAAATAACATTTTGCTTCAAAGAACTGAAGGTAAAACCAAAAGTAGTGTCCAATTAGAATTATCAGTGGCAGTTTTTAATAAAGATTTCATATTATTTTTCCCTTCTTTTCCTTTCAGGGCGTGCTGATATTTTCAGAAGCTATACATGCTCCTATAGCCATTCATTTTGACTTTCCTGGGAAGTAGGTCTTTGGAAAGTTTTTTAGTTTATTTCTTTTTCTTTTGTTGTATACTAGTAAATAAAACCCCTTGGGTCATGTTGAAATTAATTCACACCTCAGGAATTCCTTAACTTTACTAGCAACACTTGTCAAACTAAAATTTTGAAAGATGTTATAAGCTAGTGTTCTTTTGATTGGTGACTTGGTTTAGAAAGAAACATTATTCTGCAGAGTGAAAACATTTATAAACTTGATATACTGAATAAATTGCCTAATTAGAAAATTATATATGGCTTAAACACGTTAAATCTCTATGAAACTATGGTATGTTATATTTCAGAACTAAAATGTCAAAGAGATTGGGTTAGGATAGATGTGTCTTATAAAATTGGATGTGATGATTTTTAAGGGCTCTTTTAGCTCTAAGGACTATCTCAATTTGTGAAAAAACAAATAAGACTTCTACTTTTACTGTTTCTTTTTACTCCAAAATTAAGTATCATTTTCTAATGTTTTCCCAGTGTCCATCAGAAAATGAGTGTGGTTTTTGCTCTGGTTTTGCCTTTTTTAGACCCATGGCTTTAAGTATTGATGATATGTTATTGGAAGCCAACTTTATTTTGGCTACATTAGCTGACGAGCCAAGTAGAGCATCTTCTCCACAAACACTGTGTCTTTCACAAAAACAAAAAAGGTAAGGCTGTGTTTTTAATGTCTTATTGGTTGGGATAAAGCCATTGCAACCTTATTCTGCAATAATTCAATGGCATTCGTTTAGGAAACAACTGAGAAGGAAAACATTAGAAGATCTGAAACTTTAACTGAATCAGGAAGAACTCCAGGAAGACCTAACTGTAACATAGAAATAACACCCATCTTTCACAGATACTTGCTTTTTTCTCTTATGATCACAATTTAACAGAACTGTCTGGTTTATCTTTGTCATTACCTAAAACTCATTTCTGTTTTCAGTGGTTGTTTTTCAGGAGTGATACAGTGTGAAGTTTCACATGAAGGTTTATATTCATTGCCCAGAGCTCTCTTTCTTAGACATATGGACAGGCAGCCGTTGTTTTTCTTTCTTTCTTTTTTTCCCTTTTGTCTCTCTCTTTTCTTTTTTTTAAATTTTTGCTGCACTGCATGGCTTGCAGGATCTCAGTTCCCTGTCCAGGGATTGAACCTAGGCCACAGCAGTGAACTGTAACATCCTAACCACTGGATATCCAGGGAACTCCCCCTTTTGCCTCTTAACTTTTTTTTTTTTTTTTTGGTGGAGGCTCCTTCATAGTAAAAATAACAAATTTTTATGGGAAATTAGGAAAATGCAATAAAGTACAAAGAATAAAGTGAAAAACACCCACACTTTTACCACCTAACGATAGCCACTGTTAATGTTTGGCACACTGTATTTTCTTTCAGACTTTTAATTTTGCATATATTTGCATTTTAAAACAAGATTGGCTCATATAGCATATGTAGTTTTATATCCTGTTTTTTTTCCACAAAATATTATATTGTGAACATTTTCTAATATTGCTGATAATGACTTGGAAAGATGCTTTTTAATGGTTCTATACAATTTTCTCATACAGATGTATTGTAATTTATTTGACTTTTTTTTTTCCTACCTATGCCCTTCTACTGTGTTATAAGATTGTCTCATGCACACTTGGGTTGCTTTACTGAAAAATTTGAATCTGTAAGAGAATTTCTAAATAATCATATATTTGAACTTAACTTTCAAACAATTAGTTTGATGTTTTTTCAATATATTCCCTAAACTGTGTTATCATTGTCATTTCATGTTGCTCCTTTAGTTATATACAAATATATATTTCAAAGTAAACAATACATTCATTTAATCTCTATTAATACCTCAGGTCAGAGCCGATACATTCAAATTCAAAGGCTGGTAAAAATGCAGCCAGCAAGGTCCCAGAGTATATCTCAAGAAAAGTAGAACTGAAAAGGCTGTATTCTGATGAGACTCCCATGAACACCTCTACACTGGAAAATTGTGGCAGCCCTTTAATGAAAAGAGCGAACAAAGACCTTACTGAAGTACCCGAAAGCAGTGGAGATATTAGTGAAGTCCCAGAAAGCAGTGTCAGCGACACAGAAGAAGTGCCAGGGTCTCCATGTCTCAGGAAGGTAAAGGAGCAGCAGCACTGAGACACAGCTAAGCTGAGGCCAAGGGCTCACTCTCGTTGTCCGTCTGCCTTTCCTGCCGCAGCCCACCCCCAGTCTCCTGGAAATTAATTTCCTTATTTTTTGATGGGGAGAGCTGAAGCCAGTCTGAGATGGAGAAAAGGTTGATTTATACAAGGTCAATACAAAACAAATTGCTCATTGAGTAATTCTAACAAAGTATGTTTAGAGATTTGAGTCACTTGTTTTAAAGAACAAATTATGATTGTTTATAGCATATTTATCTTTGAGTACAAATATTGATAATATGTTAAAGTCATATACTTTGTTTTCTAAAATAAGTGTCCTAATTTTCTTTTTCAAGTTTGGTCAAGAAATCTCTTATTCATGGTAGCACAGATACAAATTTCATCACAAGAAACATCACAAATTTCTTCGTAGTAGAGTCCCAGTTTATAACATTATTGTAATACCAATATTTTGCTATTATAGATGGATGATAAACTTTACAAAATGCTATGATATTAAACCTTATGAAATCTATTGAACTGAAGATAAGCATAATTTATTAGAAGTATCTTAAATAATGATAGTCCACATTTTACATATTTACATTAGTGTTTTATTCAAGCTTGTTTTGCTGTTGTTATTATTGGTTTGGAAATATGAGTTTGTTAGAGTTAGAAATTTGAAAGGAGAAATAATATTGCTAGAAGTTACTACTTCTCACTAGTCCTTTTCAGAATTGATAGTAATTAGCAAAATGGACCAATTTAAGTTGCATTTCCAAAGTGTCATTAGGATGGCAGTCAGTTTTTTTACTAAGAGAAAGAGCAGGGAGCTGACACTTCATGTTATACACCCCTATGAATTTTACATTTTTGACTTTATTTCATTTTTAAGTCACAATATCCACTGCTACTGGGCTTTCCTGGTGGCTCAGTGGTAAAGAATCTGCCTGCCAGTGCAGGAGATGCAGGTTTGATTCCTGGGTTGGGAAGATCCCTTGGAGAAGGAAATGGCAACCTACACCAGTATTCTTGCCTGGGAAATCCCATGGACAGAGGAACTTGGCCAACTACAATCCATGGGGTTGCAAAGAGTCAAATACTACTGAGCAACTAAACAATAACAATGCTGTAATAAAGACTTCTAGTGTCGTAAAATTGGACAGTAAACTCCACTTATTATTCAGTTTGATGCCGTAAGTGTTTATTGAATACCTGTTGTTATATGCCCAGTACTTATGGCAGTTTTCTCTTCTTGTGAATTACTAACTTGGTCATAAAAGAAAACTGAGCTCTGTCTTTTCATTATGCAGAAACATTTTCCCCATCCTGTTTTTTGGTTACACATATTGTGCTTACTTTTATTTTTTTTACAGACAACAACAGGAACACATTTCCCTGCTGCTTCATCTCCCTGAAATTCACTAAGATTGCCAATTTCCTCACTAGGGAAAGTGACATTTAGAGCTGTAAGCTCCACAAGTTACATTACAGCACTCTTTTCTTTTCTATCATGTCACTTAAATCCTAAATTCTAAAAAGAAAACTCAATTTTGGAAGGGAAGTTTTTGCCTTAACTCCTGCAAAAATGAGATTACATTATGGGTAAATGATTGAGACCCTTATCATCTATCTGAACTCCGATGAGCCTTCTGACTGGCCTCCATACCCCCATTCTTCTCCACTCTGGTTTTCCTCCACACTGTACTAAAAGATTCTGTTTGGACCTTACAGTGAGGTATAGGGCTCCTGGGTTGGAATCTCTGTCTTGCCACTTGTGTGACTTGGGCAAGTTACGTATCTTTGCTTCAGTTTTCTTTCTGTTAGTAAAATGAGGATAATACTGATGAATTGTTGTGAGATTGAATTGTTGTGAAAATTAATTGAGCTAATAGATGGAGCTGGCAGATGGTCAGTGCTCAGCATCACTCTCCTGCTTTTAAATCTCTTGAATCGTCCACTTTTTCCATAGAATTTCACCTAAACTCCTTGAAATGGCATTAGGGGACTTTCCCTAGAGTATTTAATATAGTTTTCTCATTTCCTCCTCTGAGATCCAGTTCTAGTCCTTCAGATTATGTTTTAATGTCTGGTAGATTTAGTATCCCTTTGTAGATTTTGTCAGGTTTTTTCCTGGTTATTCCTGAGTGTATGTTTTTTGTTTGAACTTTAATATCAATGTATCCAACTCCATAAAAAAAAAATCTATTTTTTTTATTAGGATTTCCTTAAATTTCTGTTAACTTGAGGATGTTAAGTGACATCTTTATGTTGTTGAGTCATTCTGTCTATGAACACCGGCAATGTATTTACATTTATTCAGGTCTTCTTTTGTGTCTTTCAGGAATGTTTTAAAATGTTTCTCATACATTTACACATTTATTATTAAGGTTATTCATAAATAATTAACCTTTTATATTGCTTTTGTGAATGGATGTTATGTTTTCTGTTTTCTCACTGCCTTTTGTGTATATGAAGGCTACTGTTTTTTCGTGTTAATTTTATATTGTACTACCCTCCTGACTCATGTTATTATTTCCATTAGTTTTATCACTGATTCTCTCAGGGTTTTTAGACATAGTTACTATATGTCTCTTTTTTGTATACCAGTAGTTTCATTTCTTCTTTAATGCCTCCAACTGACTCTTTTGTACAGTTGCATTAGCACATAACCTCTAGTACAACATTTAGAGTGGAGAGAAGGGACCTGCTTGCTTAGTTCCTGATCTTAATGGAAACATTCTGCATATACTTTTGTGTTCTACTTTTGCTCATATTATTGCGCCTACATTTCAGGGTAGTAGTATTCCTCTTTTCACTGTTTAAACTCCTACCCACCTTCAAAGCCCAACTCAAGTGATACATCTCCTTCTGAAGTCTTCTCATTCAACTCATTTTTACTGTCACATAATAACTTGATAGATACGCTTGTTATTCCACTAGGTAGATTGTGAGTTCATCAAGGGCAGACCTGAGTCTTACTCATCTCTGTATTCCTAGTGCATAAGCCAGTAGTTGGCAGACCTTCAGCCCTGGTTTGGGATAGCCTGAGAAAAATTTTAAAATCCCTCCAATAGTATCACAACATTCCAAAATGAAAGATGAAACCAATTTTTTAATTCACTTTATTAAAAAAAATAAATATATGGTAGTATTCTACTTTGGGGAAGGGGGTTTTAAGAATTAAACTACTGTAGAGAAGTATTGGGCTTCCCTGGTAGCTCAGCTGGTAAAGAATCTGCCTGCAATGCAGGAGACCCTGGTTTGATCCCTGGGTTGGGAAGATCCTTTGGAGGAGGGCATGGCAACCAATTCCAGTATTCTTGCCTGGAGAATTCCATGGACAGCGGAGCCTGGCGGGCTACAGTCCATGGGGTTGCAAAGAGTCAAACATGACTGAGTGACTAAGCACAGCACAGAGAAATATTGCTATATTCTCAATAATGACCAACATTTTTTCTGTTGTGGATGTTCAATAAGTTTAATCAAGAAGTTATACACAGCTCTCAGAGACACCAAAATAATATCTAGTATTGTTATCTTTTTTTACTGAAGTATGATTGACCTACAACACTTTGTAAGTTCTATATGCATAACATAATGATTCAGTATTTCCACACATTACAAAATGATCACAATGATAGAAATTTAGAGCGGTTTTTAAAGACCAAAGCCCCATAAAAGTTATGATAATATTGTTGACTGTTTCTTCATGCTGTACATTTCATCCACATGACTCATTTATGCTGTAACTGGAATTTGTACCTCTTAATCTCCCTCACCTAGTTCACTCACCCCCCCACACCTGTCCACTCTGGCAACCACCTGTTTGTTCTCTGTATCTGAGTCTGTTTCTGTTTCATTATTTTTGTTCATTTGTTTTGCTTTTTAGATTCCATACATAAGTGAAATCTTATAGTGTTTGTCTTTCTATGACTTATTTCCCTTAGTATAATACCTTGTAGGTTCATTGGTTTTGTTATAAATGGCAAGGCTTTATTCTTTTTTGTGGCTGAGTAATATTCTTTTGTATATATGCACTGCATCTTCTTTACCCATTCATCTATTGATGGACACAGGTCGCTTCTATATCTTGGCTATTATAAATAATGCTGCAAAGAATATAGGGGTGCAGATACTTTTTTGCATTCGTGTTTTTATTTTTATTTTTTTCAGAAAAATAGCAGGAGTGGAATTGCTGGATTGTATGGCAGTTCTATTTTTAAGAAAACATGTATACTGTTAAAAAATTTTTTATAACAATGCCCCTTCTTACTCAGTTCGTGTAGAACTTGGAGTCATTCCAAGTTACATAGCTATTCAGACTTTCTGCATTAGAAGACTGTTAGACACTAGGGAAGGGCTTGATCATCCAGCCATGAACAATTTAGAGACTGAAGAGTAGGTGGGGACAAGAGGGGGTAGCAAATGACATTTGACCTTAAGTGAATGGCAAATTCAGGGCAGTGCTCAAAGGCCATAGTAAACTAAGATTTTCAGCTTACCAGTGTATTAGTTTCTTATTGCTGCTATAGCAAATTACCACAAGCTTAGTGGCTTAAGACAACACAAATTATCTTTCAGTTCAGAAGTCCAAAATGGGTCTCACTGAGCTAAAAGCAAAGCATTGGCAAGGCCGTGTTCCTTTGTGAAGACTAGGGAAGAATCTGCTTTCTTTCTTTTCCTTTCTTCTTGAGATCATCTGCATTCTTTAATCATGGTTACCCTTCAGCTTTAAACCAGCAATGGCTGGTGGAGCCCATTTCGCATTTCCTCACTCTGATGCTGATTTCCACATTTAAGGATCATTGTGATTTCCCACTGGGCCTACCTGGATAGCAACCTTATTTCACTTGCTCTTTTAATTCCCTTTTGCCTTGTGATATATTCACAGGGTCCTGGGATTAAGATGTGAACATCTTTGGGGGGTGAAGGTAGACCATCATTCTGCCAATATCACAGCTAATTTGGGGTGTTTCATCTGGAGCCAAGGTT